CCTAATTTCCATATCAGTTTTCATTATGGTAAGTATAAGACATAAAGTTTTGTGTTTAATATGAAAGAAAAAAAAAAAAAAGTGCCTCTCTTTGAAATAAAAATATTCTAAAATTAAAAAAAAGAAAAAGTTCATCCAAATGGGTCTGTCAATCACCAGAGGTGACTACCCTTCAGAAAAGGTGATTCAACTTTACATGTTAAGATGAGAGGAATAATTATTCCCTTAGTGAAATCATGTACTTACACCCCAGAAGCTCCTTCCTCAATGTGATTCTTTATGAATCCTCACTTCTTTTTAAAATTATGTTTATTTATTGTGTATATTTGTGGGCACAAGCATGCCATGGCATGCATGTAGAGGTAGGAGACAACTTTCAGTAGTTGGGCTTGGAGACAGGTACCTACCTGATGAGCCATCTGGCAGGGCCACATCCTTTCTTAAGCCAGTCTGTTTTAAAAAATGTAACTTCTGCCGGGCGTGGTAGCGCACGCCTGTAGTCCCAGCACTTGGGAGGCAGAGGCAGGCGGATCTCTGAGTTCAAGGCCAGCCTGGTCTACATAGTTCCAGGACAGCTGGGGCTACAGGGAGACCTTGTCTCAAAAAAAAGTAACTTCTAGCCCAGTGTGGTGGCACATGCCTTTAATTCCAGCAGTCGGGAGGCAGAGGCAGGCAGATCTCTGAGTTTGAGGCCAGTGTGGTCTACATAGTAAGTTCTAGGACAGCTGGAGCTACAGGGAGACCCTGTCTCAAAAAGATCAAAAAAAGAAAATCTAACTTTTGGGCTGGACAGATGGCTGAGCAACTGCCTGGGTTCAGTTCCCAGCACCCACATGGCAGCTCATAACTGCTTGAAACCAGCTACAGAGGGATCTGATGCCTCTGTAGGAACCTGTACTCATGTGCACATATACACACACATACACATAATTTTAAATAAAAAAAATTTTTTTTAAAGTGTAACTTTTAGCTGGGCATGGTGGTGCATGCCTTTAGTCCCAGCACTTGGGAGGCAGAGGCAGATAGAGCTCTGTGAGTTCAAGGCCAGCCTGGTCTACATGGTGAGTTCCAGGCCAGCTGGGACTACAGGGAGACCCTGTCTCAAAAAAGATTAAAAAAAAAAGAAAGTGTAACTTTTGGGGCTGGGAGAGATGACTCAATGGTAAAATGTTTGCTGTGTAAGCCTAAGGACTTAAGTTGGATCTCCAACACCCACATAAAAGCAGGGCACAGTGGTACATGTCTATAACCCCAGTGCTGAGGGGGCAGAAAGATCCCTTGAGACTACTGGTCAGCAAGTCTAGATGAAATGGTTCAGTGAAAGACCCTGCCTCAAAAAACAAGGTGTTGGGGTTGGAGAGACGGGCTCAGTGGTTGAGTACTTGCTGCTCTTGCAGTTCTCAGCACCCACATAGCAGCTCACAACTGTCCATAACTCCAGGTCCCAAGGGGATCTGACAGCCTCTTCTAGCCTCCTTGGGCACCAGGCACACATACAGGCACATCAAATAAATAAATCTTGTTTTAAAAGGTGGAGTGCAATAAAGACATTTGACATCAACCTCTGGCCCCATGTGTGTATATAAGCATGGGTAAATACGATTGTACGTACACGTACACACACACACACACACACACACACACACACACACACAGACACTGCACAAAGGTATAACTTTCCCTAGCTGTTTTGAGTACCACTCACTCTCTCTAAAGACCAGCCATCCCATGCAGCTGCTGTAGACCACTCCTTGCTTTACCTGTAACTCTGAAAATGACTCTCTCCTCTTATCCATCCATCTCCTCCCAGCAGCTGTGACTTCCAGCTTGCTTACTGTTTTTTTCTCAAGCTCTAATAAAATGCCCTCAAACTTCCTTCTGAGTCTATTTTTAAATTATTTTATCTGCCAGGCATGGTGGCACATGCCTTTAATCCCAGCACTTGGGAGGCAGAGGCACGTGGATCTTTGTGAGTTCGAGGCCAGCCTGGTCTACATAGTGAGTTCCAGGACAGCTGGGGCTACAGAGACCCTGTCTCAAAAAGAGCAAAAAATAAAATAAATAAATAATTTTATCCATGAGACTATGTACCTGGTCACTGGGGGGATGGGGGTGGGGGGCTGCAGCCTGAGCTTACAAGGCCAAGAAGGTATGCCTTGAATGAGTGGCTACTAAGCTTCATGTGGCCCCAGGAACTGTTTGGTGACATGTTGGAGACATTGATGGGTAAGAAAATTGTGCCTGGGAAATAAAGTCATGAAAGGGAGGTGACAGAAGGGAAGATAGCCTGGGGTACCTAACCTGGGTAGAGGCTCACAAGGAAAAGGCACCTGGGCACACAGCTTTTGGAAGCAGGGGGAGGCCAGAGGAAAGGAGCCTGCTCACACCAACCTGGACTGTGGGTTTAGTTCCCAGGAAGGAGTTCGAAACAATATTCTCAGTGGCATTTTGCCATGGTAGCCTAGCTAAGACAAATTAGATAGAAAATCAATCATTTAGACCCAGGAGTGATCGATCTCTCTCTCTCTCTCTCTCTTTCCCTCTCTCTCTCTCTCTCAATTGAGTCATTTATTTGCCCTAGCCACAGCTTCCTCCACCCTGGAGAGGGGGTACAAATGAGTGTAGGGTGCCTAGAGGATGAGATATCTCAGGCTGAGACTGAGAGGCAAGGGAGACAAGAGTGGGGCAGCAGGGCACTCCAGGGTGAGGGCTACCTAGTTCTTTAGGAGGCCAGATGAGCCAAGGGTTTCTCACTGATGGATGACTGGAATGACAGCTGTGGAGAAAGGGATCAGGGTGGCTGACAGGAACAGGGCCCCCACTGTGGAGTTCCCTGGAGACATGGATCAGTGGCCTTTGAGACATGGAAGGGGGCTACCCACACTTAGAGGGCACCATGAGCTGCCATGTCACATCTTCCTAGATATGCACAGGTGGTCACTACTCATACACAGACTTAGACCATAGGATCAGAATGGCCACATAGTCTAAGACAAGACAGATAGAGACACCTGTAAAACATACAGCCAGTCCAGGAATTAAGCCAGTCTGCAGTCTCAGACTTCAGCCTGAACTGTCCTGGCCCAGCTACCACCTTTCTCAGCTGGCCTAGAGGGGCAGAATAGGCTTGGACTTGGCAGCTGCCTTGGGAACTCATGGCCTACACAGCCTTTCCTGAAACAGAGGCTCTTCTTGCAGGTAAGGGAGTGACATTGCCCTGGCTAATCCCTTCCTTGAACCCTTGGGGAAAAAGCCCTATCACCCCTACCCTTCCCTCTGCAATGTAGGGGATCAGTGGCAGACCCCAAGGATCCCTTACCTGGGTCCTGTGGCTGGCTCCCCACCTGCATGCTGTCTATTGGGGGTCCTGTGTCTGGCCCCAGTGGCTGACTCTGCAGAGCTGGATGGAGGCCCACACCACTACATTGACTGCTTGGGGCCCAATGCATATTTAATGACATCTATTATTCCTGTTTTGTCTCTGGAAAGCATGAACAGCTGACAGGGGAGTGAGATCAGCCTTGAGAGCAGGCTGGGCTGCAGGCCTGCAAGCCTGCTCCACATGCTAGTGTAGCTATTGCCTCGGAGCTCTCCCCACTCCTGGCAGCTGTACAGAACCTGTGTAATTTACCCCCCAGACCCCAAAGGCACTCCTCCTTCCTCTACAGATAGTCAAGAGTATTTGTGTGCCTCCCAGGCACAGCCCCTGATTGGGGCAGTAGGCACTGGCCAGCACCAGTGGCCCCTCCGTTCTGGCTTGAGTGTCAGCTACCCTGCACTGAGGAGCCCTCTTGCTCTTCCAAAGTAGTCTCAAGGGCCCCCAAAAGATGCCATTGGCAGCTGAGCCTGGCCTCTAGTGGGTCCGTGGTGGGCACCCACAGTCACTGGCCAGTCTTCCTGGGCTGGGGCAGATTCTGCCTCCTTTTGGCTACCCAGGCCCAAGCCACACTCACCCCCTACTCAATCTACCAGGTTGATTGCTGCCCCACCCCCACTGCACCAAGCAACAGCCCTGCAAGTTTGCAAAGTTCCCTTAGTCTGGACAGGAATCACTTTCCAGTCTTTATTTTAGAAAGGAGAGCAGAGATAAGAGCTTGGAAGGGAAGCAGAGCCAAACTCAGAGGTCCCATCCAGGCAGCCAGGAGCTGCCCTGGGAGGGGCTCAAGGGGGAGGCACTTTAGGGTACTTTGAGTGGGCCCTGGTTTTCACCAGGACTAACCCTGTGTGGAAGGACCTGTGGGGACTTCATCCAGGGCCCTCTGAGTGCTAGAAAGTTGGCAGGCACCTCAGCCTCAGGGATCCAGATAGGCCCATCTTGAGCCTGGGTCAACTGGAGGCCCTGGCTGGGAGGAGGCAGGAAACTAGCTCCTTCAGTGTCCAGATGGGGCACAGGATACAGATATAGGCTGTGGGCTCCTGATAAGGAACACTGTCATAGGAACAGGCTCATGGGAAATGTCCTCAGCAGAACCCTGGTCCCCAGCTTGGTCTCTGCCTCAACAATGAGCCATCTGCTTACTGAAGAAGGTTATGGAAACAGTACACTCAAGGGTCCCTTCCTGGAGTATATGTACTTTTCCTATTTACGTGTCCCAGTAGGTCCAAATCCCCAGGAGCCAGTTCAGCCAGCAGGCAGTATGACTATTTCTTCACAATCTGGATGACGTCCTCATGCTCCATGGTGTGAGTCAAGCCCACTCGCTGAGGACTGTACTTAGTGCTGGTGCCCTGATGAAAGAGCATAGAAGGGCCATGTCGGTCTCTGGATATCCAAGGTTGCAGGAAGCTAGCTAGGTGTATGTGGGTGAAGGGCTCCAGCAGCACAAATATTGTGGGCCTGTTCAGTGAGATGCCTCCTTATTCCGGGCAGGTGGAAAGACCTACTTCCAGCCTGGGTCTATGGGCATACTCACAGAGTGGGACAGACAGACATGAAGGCCCCATGCAGAAGGACAGGGATGCTGCACAGAGGTGTATGGATATTATGCTGAACCTCACCCAGGGGCTACTGGGCCTCCCACCTGGTTCCTGCCCACTCACCCACACCAAGGCGTACTTGAACTGGCTCGCCAGTGACCGATGGATGCGGTGGCACTAGGGGACAAGAGAGTCAGAACATGAGATTCTGTAAATTGGGCCTGAGCTTGGCTGCACACAAAAGCCTGGAGCTTATGCTGCCCACAGCCATTCCATATCAGATGCTCTGACAGCCTAGGAGGATGCGAGTCAAGGCCACTGGCCTCATTAGCACCCAGGAATGCTTTTACAGGTAGCAGTTCTCTGCAAGTCTCTCCTGGACAGTTTGACAGATGCTTCCTCAGAACAGACCAAGAAGGCTTTTCAGAACAACTCTCCTCAACTTAAGAGTCACAGCTGTGGCCTAAGCATCTTGCATATCACATCCCACTCCTTATCCTGAGCCTAGCCCAAGTGCTTCTGGGGGTTGGGGTGGTAAAGGCCACAGGAAGACCCTGAGGGGGTAGCCAGCAATTGCCTCAGAATATGGACCCCTGGTTACCATGGTGATGGTAGCACAGTGGAAGCAGCTGGAGTGGGTCATGCAATGTCATTCCTCTTCCCACCTCTCACAGATCTTATAGGCCCAGGCCTGCAAGAACACTTCCTGAGCAGATTTGGAAGCCAGCTGACTCTGGTCTCCTCTGGGTGGGTGACCAAGGATGCCATAGCCAATGACAAGCACAATAACCAATTCCTACTCACTCCCTAGACCAGAGAGTGAAACACTGATGTCAGCTCTGACCTGAAAATGAGTTTTAAATTTCGTTTAGTTTGCTCATCATTAAAAACAAGAAATGCCACTGGCAGCTTAATATTATCTTTCCTTGGATCTGTTTGAAACTCTGAAAATCAGTGTTCCTCCCCTGCAATTTGCCACAGACCCCACCAGCAGCTCTTCTCATGAAAGGCCACTTCCCTGCAATCCTTTAAGAAAAATTATGGGGCTGGAGATATGGGTCAGCAGTTAAAAGCACTGGCTGCTCTTGCAGAGGCCCTGGGTTTGATTCCCAACACCCACATGGTAGCTAACAACTATTTATAACTCCAGTTCCAGGGGAATAGATGCTGTCTTCTGACCTCTGTGACACAGGTGCACTTGCATGCAAGCAATACACTCATATACATAAAATAAAAATAAATGTTAAAAATATTAAAAAGAAAAAGAAAAGAAAAATAAGAGTGAACTGAGATGGGAAGACTATTCTTCCTCAGAGTCCTGTCTCATTCCATGATGAACTTCTGCTCCAGGACCCCTGAGCCTCTTGGCTCTCAAAGATAAGGTTCACCAGTGCTCATCTGAAGGGTTAGAGCTGGTATGTCACAAAGCCCCAGGGGACTATCATCCCCAGGTGAGAGACTGAGGCTGAGGCAAAGGATAAGGAGCTAAGTATGCCTGTAGGACTAGCTGGCTCCTCTGACCTCAGTAAGCACCCATGCTGTAATGCATGCCATAGGGGCAGGCCTTGTCTTCAAACTGGCACCTCAGACAGTTGAGTGTCCTAGAAGTACCTATGTAGGGAAGGTAGCCACTGAAGGGAAGTCTTCTCTGGGACAAAGTCCAGGCTCTGAGCAAAGGCCCAAAGCCCTCTCCCACCACATTGTCCTTTTCTCCTTTTGGGTTAGTACCTGCTGCCTGTGCCCATTCCTCACCTTCATTCCTGCCTCTGGGTCTTTATACATGCCTTTCCTGATGTTCTGCTGTTCCTACTGGCTATGATGAGAACCCCAAGTTCTCTGGATAAGCAGCTTGGCCTGGGAGGGAGGACCCAAGAAGGGCTAATACCTGTATCTAGGGAGCTCACTAGGCTCCCAGCATGGGACACATCAACTACAGCTCCACAAGAGTTCTGAATGGAATCTAACACAGAGATCCTTGTGAGGGACTGAGGTGACTCAGATTGGTATTCTTGAGCCTCCGTAGCTCATATCCAGCCTGCTGACTTATGAAATCTGGGCCCAGAAGAAGAGGTAACTGGCTTGGTCCTGTGTGTCCAAAGCTGACACCAGTAGGCTCCGGCTGGGCTTGCCAAATGAAAGGAGTCATGAGAGCAGACCACTGGCCTGCTGACCATGGTCCTTCTGAGGGACAACAAGGACAGCCAGTCCCCTCCTCCACAGCACAAATCCTGATAAATAATGGGCTAGAGGAAAACAAAAGCTCAAGAACATGACCATGTGACCTAAAGCTTGTTTCCAAGCTCTGAGTGCTCATCTGCTCCTTAGGGGTGCCTCAGACAGCAGTTCCAACAGGGATAGGTGCCCTTATATCCTAAACCCAGAACTCCTTGCCTAGGATGTCCCATGCTCAGGTCTGCATTAATTGCAGCTTGGACTCCAGGGCAGCTCAGGTCACTTCCTCCAAACAGTTTCCTGAACTACATGTGGACCTACCACAGCCCCACAACCTTCATACAACTGCTGGGATCTGGGGTCAGGGGCCTGACATCTGCTGAGCTCTGGTAAGGCCAGGGCTACTATATCAGGTGCTGATGTTCAATGAATGTGTTGGGACAGGAAGCAGCCAGAACCATCCTGGGCTGGGAGCAAAGTGGAATAGCTAGGTCGTGCAGCCACGGGAGGATCTAAGCCCTGGATGGATCTGTCACTGGGTAGGAGGGCAGAAGATTGGAGGGCCTTTCCCAGGCTCTGCTTCAGCCACACTGGAGAAGCTGGGAATACTAACACAATGGATGACAGCTCTCCTTCACCGACTATCAGAATGACCCTGCACCTGTAGCACTGGGGGTAGAGTGACAAGACCACTGCTCACTGGCATCTTCCCAGTGCCAGATGGCCAGTTGAGCTTTGTGTAATGTGATCTTAATCACCTAGGAGTACCGTACTTTACAGCACAGGGACAGATGCCCCACACACAGCTAGGAAGGGGTGGTGTGGCCACCACCGCGGCACATCTTACTAGAGGAACATCCAAGAACCAGGCAAGGCCTGGCAGCCTGTCTTCACCCACCCTCCCCACCTTGGCTGGGGACACTTTGGATACCCAGGATTCTCAGCCCATCCCAGCAGCTTTCAACTTACCACGTGTTCAACAGAGGCCCCTTTCCGGAGAATGATGGCATCTGTGAAGTCTGGCCTCTCTGTAGAGAGATGGAGGAATATCAACTAGTCTCTGCCCACAATGGCACGGGCTTCCTTTCCAAGGGGGTCTCTGGCTACAGAGGCCTTTCCTCTCTTCCAAGCACCCTAGCCTCGCCTCTTGCTGATACATCTTCGGTATAGAACCTTGTGCCACCTTCTACAATTGTGACCTTAACACAGAAAGCCAATCAAAGTCCAGGATTCACAGGCCTGCTACCCTGTTACCTATGATGGCACCCAATGAGGAGTCACTGGTGTGTCTGGACTGAATGTGCAGGGAGCTGGAGCCTGGGTGGCAAGCTATAAGTTTTTAAGGACAGGGTTATCACAAACTGCCCAAACTCAGTCATGGGGCACCCAGGGGCATGTGGGCATGTGTGTACCAGAGACAGGGACAGAGTAAGAAGTCTAAAGCTCCTAACAAGGGGCCTGCTACTGTGTAGGGAAGGCAAGAGGGCAAGGCCAGTAGGGACCTAGGGCAGCCTTCAGACCAGCTGCCCCATAGCTGGCATCTCTGCCACATGGGCTCAGGTCAAGGTTTTCATCTACTTGGGGAGAAGGGCAAGGCCTGCTCTAATAGGCTGGCACCGAGGCCTCTGGGTGTGACATGCAGACTAGCAGTCCTGGGGATGTGGGGCAGGCTCAGCCATTTCTGAGCTGGCACCCTCAACTCACGCCCTCTCTTCTTGGTGTAGATGCAGGTGAGGGCCAAGTACTCCCAGAGCATCTCCAGCAGGTAGTCCAGGTTCAGCTTCATGCCACAGCTGCAGAGAGGGAAGTGTCAGACAGGCGGGCTCTGGGGCTCAGAAGCCACTGTCTCGTGACTTCTCACTGTTGGAGAGTACCACTAAGACCAATGATGTGGCTCTGCTAGTGCCACTGGGAACATGCAGGTTACTCTGATGGCAGCTGGATGCTTTGATCACCAGTGCCTTGGGTCACCCAGGCTCAGGCACAACACAGGTCAACGTCCCCCTATGGATAAGCTTTGTTGCATGTTACAGGGAATCCATGGTATCTGTGATGAAGACAGGCCTGTTGTGTTAGGACCATGAGCATGCTCACCCCTCAAGAGGGCAGAGGGACTGCCAAAGGCCTAGGCCACCCATAGGTATCTCAGAACACAGAGGGAGGAACCCAGGTTCTGGAGCAGCCAGACCCAGGAGGCCCTTGGTGCTGTGTGAGTATAATCAGGGAAAGGCATCCACCTCCCAAGCCAAGGATGTGCATGTCCTAGGCAGCCCAGGCTGTCTGGAAGACAGCAGGAGAGAGGACTAAGGCCTCCCTGCTGCAGGAATGCTGCTCTCTGCAGTAGCTGTAATGCCTGGTAGCAGTCCTCAGCCATTACCTGTACCAGCTACCTCAACTTGGTCCCTGACTATCTGCTTCTGCAAGCCATCAGAGCACCAGCTTTGAGTCAGGAAAGCAGAGGAACAGAGGACTCAGAATACCTCCCAAAAGGCCAGACACCCATGCACGTCAGGCCAGGATAAAACCTCAAATGATAACACCTACATATGAGACTGCCTGTCTTCCTCAATGCCTCCAGGATGGGGACGCCTCCTCTTAGAAGCAGCACTGGGGAAGCAAGCAGTGGCTACTAGCCAGAGTCACCTGTGACTCAGTAAAGGGCAGGAAGTAGCAACCAGAGGTGGACTTCACCCATCTAGGCTTTAGTTTCCTCTTCTGTCTGAGCAGTGGTCAGACAAGATACAGTTCCCAAGGTGGCAGCACAAGTGGTCACACTGAGCTTTCTGGGGACTGTGGTCACTACTAGACTAAGAAGCTTTGTAATTCCTCAGTCTTAGTGTTCTGTTGAGCAGAGCCCACTAGACATTATGACAGACCAGTGTCTCCAGTAGCTATGGAGGCCCTTCTTGCAGTAGCTTCTGGGCCTCGTGCTCTTCTGAGAGATGCTAGGCCATGTGAACCTGCATGAGGTAGAGGGTCTGGCTCTCTCTCAAACTAAGGTGGCCAAGGGCCCCATCCCTTGGGATCAGAACACTCAGAAAGGGTAGCAGGGTGCCAAGATGCCAGTGTCTCACCTGATAACCACGCTGTTGGGTTTTCTGGCCAGACGATCTACTTCTTCCATGGAGATCTGGTCAATTTTGTTATATACCTGAGATTGGATAGTGTAGGTAGGTAGTAGAGAAGGTGCAGTCAGGCCAGGCCAGAGCCTCAAATGGCAACACCTGCCTCTGGGCCCGCCTGCCTCCATGTCTTCAACCTGGGGGAGGTCCCCCAAAAGAAAACCTGGGTAGATTAGAACCCTTTGTCTCCAACTCTGGTAGCTACTAAGGCAGGGGAGGGGGACAGGAAGAGCCCTAGCTCCGCATTCCTCTCAGAAGCCTGGTGAGGTAGGAGTAGCAATAGCTAGTCCCCAGGCAGCCATCTGGGTCATTGGAGCTCAGAGATGCACTTAGAGGAAAGGCTATGTGGTCTGAGCCAGGGCACCTCTTCCACCCAAACAGCCTGGGCCACCATGCCACTTACATACAGGCAGGGCATGTATACCCGGTTGCCCACAATCACATCGATGAACTCATCTGGAGAGCAGTCTTCTCGGAAGAGTACTTCCGCATTGAAGATCTCTGAGGAGCTCAGATTAAGGACAAGCTGTGTACTAGTGCCCCTAAGTGCTCTTCAGTGAGGGCCAAGGGACACATGTTGGCCATAAGGACCTGGTTACCATCTGTTTGTGAATTTTCACTGTCCAGCAGTGAAAAACCACCTGGAACCCCAGGCCACTGTTTAGGAACACCGTATGAAAGCTGGTGGGACCATCTGTAACACAAGTCTGCCCTGGGAACCATCCTACCCCTGCTTGCACCTGCTGTGGCCTGCTGGATTTGATTGGTTGGCATTTCTGAGCTAGGCTCAGGTCTGCCTGAGGCCCTGGCCCATCCCCTAGCCCTCAATAACAGATGCACACACAGCTCCTGCTTCTTCCTGAGGCTTCCCCAGCCCCAGGACCCCCAGACCTCAGGGTAGTTTTGCAGAACATCTTGTCTTCCAGATGTTGCCTGGCCACCTGAACATCCCAAACTCAGTGAAGAGCCAGGAAGCCATTGCCAAGTGTATGGCTGGGTTCTGGGCCCTGCCAGCTGCCCCTGGGGGCTAGAAGGTCCTTCCTGGAAGGATACTGTACTCATGCAGGATGAGCTGTACCAGCTTCTCTGAGCACTGTGTCAGTGTGACGGTCGAGTTAAAGGAGATACCACCACCTTTCTTCGGCTGAAACAAGGGAGAGGCAGGAAGAGCTGCTGATGAAGGGGCAGCAGTATCGGCTGTCCAGGCCATGCTAAGAGCCATGCAGTCCCCATCCTGCCCCTGGTCAGGGTATGGACATACCTTGAAGTAGATGTTGGGCTTGTGCTTGTTCAGGCGGATACCCACAGATTCCAGCTCCTTCTCCAGCAGGGACCTAGGTAAAGCCTGAGCCTTCACAGGTTGTCCCCAAGCAAACCACATGACTTCTCCATGGCCTAGGTGGACTTGCCTGCCTGGGCAGAAGCCAGCTCCCTTCTCTAACCCCTTCCCTAGGAACCCAACAGCCCAAAATTGTGGTGGCACCTCTAATGCAGAGGCCAGGCCATGCCTCCATGGGTGCCAGAAGAAGGTGAAGAGCTCGAAAGGGCCTGCTGCTAGAGGCAGGCTGGTGTGCCCCTCTGACAGCAGGGGTGGGCAAATACCAAGGCTAGGCTGTGCTCCTTGCACCCTGGCCTAAGATATCCAGTCTTGGCTAGACACTACCTAGAGGTAGGGGGGCATCTAGGCTGGCTGGTGCTAGGTTAGCCACAGAACACCCACCACAAGCCAGAGACATATGTTGCTCCTGGCCCTGTGAGCCACCCTGCCCTGCTGCACAGACCTCTGCACATCTCCCTTGGTGGCATCCAGCATCATGACCACGACATCGGCTGTGCGTGCTACAGCGATCACCTGCCGACCCCGGCCTCGCCCTAGACAGGTAGAGGGAAGGGTGTGTCTCAATAAGGCACAGGCAAACATAGGGTGGTGTGATGATGCAGCCTACAATACCCCAGATTCCTGTCCTTCATGCCCCCTCCCCCCACTGTCTCTGTTTTACACCCTGTGCTATGATTTCCCTGGCATTCTGGGGACTCCACAAGCTATTTTATCCATGAAGGCTTTACTTTATTTATTTATTTATTTATTTATTTATTTAGTTTGAGACAGGATTCACCTATGTAGACTAGGCTGGTCTTGAACTTATGATCCCCCTGATCCTCCTGCTTCAACCTCCTGAGTGCTAGGAATATAGGTGTATACTACCTTAGCCCAGCTAAAACTGGTTCTAGAAGTCACCACCTTAAGTGGAGTGACTGGGTGATGATGACCTTCCTCCCCTTCTTATTCTTGAAGTCACCTCATCCTCCACACTTTATAAATACTCCTAGATGCTGTTGTGAATTTGGTACTACCATGCCCATTGCAAAGATAAGGAGACTGAGGCTTGACTTAGACATACTCAATCAACCACCGGCCCAAGATCAGAAAGTGAAAGTGACACTAGCATCTGAATTAGAGCAGAACTAGGGATCCAGGCTCCACAAGAGCCCCACCCACTTTCAATCCAGCCTGTCTCCACCCGCCTACCCCGCTCCCACCTTGCGCAGCTCCTTCAATGATTCCAGGAAGGTCCAAGAGCTGGATGTTGGCCCCTTTGTACTAGGAAGAAGAGAAGGGTGAGGCAAGGCTGGATCACTGTGGCTAGGAGCCTGCCTGGGCCCAACAGCTGGTGCTAACTATGACCATGTCTGGGCCTGATCAAAACCTTGGCCTCACATAGGCTACAGCCCAAGGGCTGGAGCTGTCTAGGGGTCCATGGAACTCACTGCTGAGGTAGCCAATAAATCAGCTCATGTGGTGATACAAGGCCCCAACACCTGCTGCCCAGGCAAGCATGGCCTGAGGGTTTTAAACTTTACAAGGGGCAAAGGTCCAACCAGCTAGTAGTCAGGGATCAGAGCTAGATGTACAGGGAACAAAGAATTGAGGGGAACCAGGCAGAGCTGCCACATGTGGGCCTGACCTACTAGGCCAAATTAGGGCTCCAGGCTAGCCAGGCGCCTCCCAGGTTGTGAGAAGGTTCTGGGTGCTTCTGGGTGTCCCCACATAGGCCCACTCAAATGCTCATACAATGCACACCCCACAAGTATGCCTCTCCCAGGTAGGGTCCATCACACTCCACTTACTTCAATGACCCCAGGGATGCATGTCAGGGTGGTGAATTCATAGGACGCAGCTTCGCTGGCTGTGGAGGTCATCAGACTCAGGAATGTGGACTAGGAGAAAAAGAAGGCTGCTGCCCTACAGAGTCTTGACCCAGCTTCCTGGGTAAGTCTCTGTGGGGGTTGTTTGGGTAGAGAGGAAGAGCCTTCCTTTCCCTCAGCCCGGGGACTTGGGTGAGTGTGAGTAACTGCTCAGAGATGTGGCCTCTAGCCTACAAAGATAGGTTGGCACCACAGCTCATGCTCTGTGAAGGCCCCAGGTCTAGCTCAGGTACATAAAGGGACTGGTTCCTACGGTCTTGCCATATGAATCAGGAACCCTTCTCTGGTCTTACACAGGCCTCTAGGTTTCTGGTCACACTGCACTGGTGAAACTAGGACCCTGTGTGCTGCTGGGTCAGGAGGGGTTAAAGAGGTGCCCACAGACAGAGGGACTGGTCCTGAGAGTAATGGCTGCTTAGATACCCACAATGCTGCTAGAGGTCAACTTGGGGACACTCCTGATCCTAGATCATCAGATGGGCATCCTACAGGGCAAGTGAGATCTACCTCAGGACTCAGACCCTGAGGGCCTGACTCTCTCTGACACACATTTTAATTACAGAGGGTGAAACAAATCAAACAAAATATGCCTGACCTATAGCAAGCACTCAGGGAATGGTGGCTGTTGTCCACTCCCTTCTTCGGTGTGCTGCTTTGTGATGAATTCAGAAGTTATACCCAGCCCAGCTGGTGTCTGCAAGCCTACATTTGAGCAGCCTCCTCACTGGCCTCCTGTGTCCATGTTTGTTCTGCTCTAGACGCCGGAGATCCTGGTTAAAAGTAAGTCAGCAGTCTGATCTTGATTTCTACCCCTATGCTCCAAAAAAGGAACCAGGGCTCCCTGAAGAAACCACAGATCTTAGGAAGTAGATCAGATGAGTCATAAGCACTTTGCAGAGTGAGGCCAGACTGGAGAAACAAAATGGCAGGAACATGTCGAAGCAGCCAGCGAAACATTTCCAAATCTAGGACTTCATGCAAAATACCTGACCAGCACTTTGCAAAAGTGTCAAGGTCATCAAATCAGAATGGAACTATGGTCAGTGGCAGAGTGCTGTTATCCTCAGCACTCAAGAGAAAAAGAGGTGAGGGGATGGAGAGAAGGTCTATCAGTTAAGAGCACTGGCTGCACTTGTAGAGGGCCTGGCTTCAGTTCCCATACCCACGTGGTGGCTCACAACCATGTGAAACTCCAGTTCCAGAGGATCTGATGCCTTCTGGCCTCCAAAGGTACCAGGCATACATGTGCTGCACATAGATATATGCAGGTAAAACACTCATACACATAAATAAAAATAACTAAATAGGCTACAGAGATGCTCAGATGGTTAAGAGCACTGACTGCTCTTGCAGTGGACTCAGGTTTGAATCTTAGCACCCACATGACGGCTAACAACCATCCTTAACTCCAGCTCCAGAGGATCTGACACCCTCTTCTGACTTCTGAGGGCAATGCATGATATGTATGGGTACACATAATACATGCAGGTAACACACTCATACACATAAAATAAAATAAATTCTGGGGGGAGAGGGGAAAAGCAGGTAGATAGCTGAGTCAGTAAAGTGTTTGCTTTGCAAGCATGAAGACCTGAGTTTGATCCCCAGAACCCATGTAAAAAAGCAAGGTATGGTTTTAAAATCTCAGCACTGGGAAAGTGGAGGAAGGGGATCCCTGGAGCTTACTGGCCAGGTAGTGTAGCCTATTTGGCAACATCCAGAGCAGTTAGAGGCCCTGTCTCAAAAAACAAGGTGAACAGCTCCCAGGAAATGATACTTGACATTGTCTTCTGGCCTCCACATGGATGTGCATGTACCTGTATACACATGAACATGAAAAAAATAAAAATAAAAAAGCATGACAAGAGACTGCCTAGACTTTGGGAGACATGCCAAGTGAATGTGATACGGGATCCAGATTGGCAGGTAGAAATTAAGGAGATATGAATAAAGTACAGACCTGGGTAACAACTGACACTGCTTCATGAGTTATGACATGGGCACTATTGTTGTACATGCTGTTAACAACTGGTTGTGAGGCCCAGGGAAACTATACTGTAAATACAAGATTAGTCTAATATTAAAAACTTAAGAGAGCTGGGTGTGATGATATACACCTTTAATCCCAGCACTCAGGAGGCTGAGGCAGGTGGATCTCTGGGAGACTGAGGCCAGCCTGGTCTACATAGTGAGTTCTAGGCCAGCTGGGGCTACAGGGGGACACTGTCTCAAAAAAACACAAAGAACAACAACAACAAAAAACAACTACCACCACCAAGAGAAAACCACAGAACTTATGGGCTGGTGAAATGGCTCAAAAGGTAAAGGAGCTTGTCTCAAGCCTGACCACCTAAGGTTCATCCATAGGACCTACATGGTAGAAGGAGAAAACTGACTTCCACAAAGGTTGGGTGCTTTGGTAATGCCCCCCACCATTACACATACACACTCGTTAAATAAATTAATTAAAATACAGTAAGAATTTTTTGGTCTTTTTGAGACAGGGTCTCTCTGTAGCCCCAGCTGTCCTGGAACTCACTATGTAGACCAAGCTGGCCTGGAACTGGCAAGGATCTGCCTGCCTCTGCTTCCCAAGTGCCACCACACCTGGCTATAATACAGTAAGAATTTTTTTTTTTAAATCCTCAACTCAAAGAGCTGGGTGTGGTGGTGCACACCTTTAATCCCAGCACTTGGGAAGCAGAGGCAGGCAGATCTTTGTGAGTGACAACAACAAAAAAACCCTCAATTTATTTACCCGTGCAATGACGCTTAATCTTACTCTCCACATAAAAATCAAATTAGTATGACCTCTGCTCTCACTGTTCCTTCAGCCTGGAATGTCTTCACCCAGAACTCAGCAAGCTTCAACCAATCACTCACCCCAAAAGCCTTCACTGACCCAGATGTGCCTTGCAGGACCTTGGAGCTTGGCACCATCTGAGACACTGCTTGAATTTGCTTATACTGTCTTTTCTCTCAGAGAGGAGGTCTGTGAGCAGGGATAGACAAGACTCTCATTTCCTGCCATGCCAGTATCTGGCACAGTGTCTGGCACAAGGTACACACTCAATAAACACTTGTGCTACTCTGCTGGCTGAGTGGAAGGCTGACTGTTCCTGCTAAAGAGCAGGAAGAAAGGCTCCAAGTCAGAGTGACAGGGAAGTGAGGCAGTGAGGGGCGATGGGGCTTTATTTGCTGGGTAGGTGACATTACTGTTCTCCTCAAGGGCCACATGGATCATCACTGACCTTACCCACAGAGGGAAAGCCGATTAGTGCCACACGGGCATCACCTGACTTCATGACATCAAAGCCTTCTCCTTTGGATGAGGCTGATTTAGATGGTTCCAGGAGCTGGGCCCGATACTTGGCCAGTTTTGCTTTTAGCAGGCCCAGGTGATACTCAGTGGCTGGAGGACATAAAGCAAGGTAGAAATAAGTGTCAAGGTCTTTACCTGGTGGGTCAGATGGGACCCTATATGGGGCCAAGTGATGACTGGGACCATCAGGAGCAGACAAAACAATCACCTCAAGGGGACAGGAGAGAGAAGAGCCACCCTTTTGCATTAGACTCCCCTAGCATCTGTCCCAAGGACTTCAGCAGTCATGACAGTGGTGTCTGGGACACTAGGGAGAGTTGTTTTCTGTTCTCTCTGCTGCTGAAGTCCTTACCAGCAGCAGCCCTACAGTCTGTGAGTCAATCCTGCACAGTGGGGAAGCTCCTGGGTTTTAGTATGACTTGCCAAATCCCAAAGATGTCCAGAGAAAACCTGGTTCATCATGCTAGAATGCATCTCTGGCAGAGTCCAGAAAGCCCCCCTAGCTCTCTGTACTGATAAGTCTCACCTCTGTGGCCGCAGGCAGTGGTATGTGACTCTATGTTTTCTTCTGACTTCTTGCCCCCATCCATGAAGGATAAGACACACTGTTTTCATTGTAAATGGCTCTCCTTTATACTATTAGGGTACCAGACTGTTTCAAAATTTGGAGGAATATGGGATGGGTTATAGTGTTGATGAAGCATTCCAAGTGTTACAAAAATCTTTATGAGAAAGGAGAAATGATTGAGATGGAGAGCCAGGGCCCCACATGACTTGCCTCCCTCCTTCTACTTCTTTGACCACCTATTGTTCCCCAATACATTACAGAGCTAACCTCATTCCTGCCTCAGGACCTTTGAATCTATGGTTGCCTGCATTTCAATCAACTCAATCCCACCCTGCCATTACTGGCTAGAGAAATTACTTAATCTTGTGCATCAGTTTCTTCTTCCTTCCTTCCTTCCTTCCTTCCTTCCTTCCTTCCTTCCTTC